TGTGTCTGCTGCGCGCCCCCCACCGTCTCAGAACTCGTCGTCGGAGCTGAGCAGCAGCGTCTTCTCGTTGTCGCGGGCGCTGGCGGCGCTGAGGGTGCGGGCGGCGGCGTGCCCACTGCGCTGCTCCAGGGTGGCCTGCTGCGTGTACTGCTGGTAGGCGGGCGAGAAGTTGTGGATGGCGTCCTGCACGATGTCGCCCGGGTTCATGGTCTCCTTCAGGCTGCTGGAGATGCTCTTCATGGGGGCACAGCGGCCTGGGGGCGCAGGGAGAGAGGGAGAGGTCACACAGAGGTCACACAGCAGCCTGGGGGCACAGGCAGAGGTCACACAGCAGTCTGGGGCGCAGGGAGAGAGGGAGAGGTCACACAGAGGTCACACAACAGCCTGGGGGCACAGGCAGAAAGGGAGAGGTCACACAGCGGTCTAGGGGCACAGGGAGAGAGGGAGACGTCACACAGAGGTCACAGCGGTCTAGGGGCGCAGGGAGAGAGGGAGAGGTCACAGGCACACAACAGGCAGCACTGCGGGGTCAGCAGGCGACAAGCCGAACCCCGCCACCGGGGGGCGCTAGACAGGACAAGGATGCAGGAGGCAGCAGCAGCAGCAGGCTGGGGCTTTGTACAATAACAAATGGCAGTGGTAACGGAAAGAGCTTAAAAACCAGAAGCAGCAATCGTGGGAAACAGAAAGCGACTATTTCAGTACAAACGGAAGCACACGTTTAAAAAACCAATGCACACCGATGACTCTGAACATGATGAAGGCCTCAGCGACTTCCCTGCGTGACTGGGAATGTCATGACTGGCTGCCGGACGCAGACGCACACCACACAGCACCAGAGACGGGCAGAGAGAGAGAGACACGTACCGTACTGTCCATAGGTAGGGACTGGGCCTTTACACAGCGCAGCAGAGAGAGCGAAGGGAGGAAGGGAGGAAGAGAGGAAAGAGAGGAAGAGAGCAGACCGGTGAGATCAGACGTATTCTTGCACGGCGGGGCGAGCAGTGTGTGAGGCGGGCAGGAGCCAGGCCCCCCCCGGGCGCCGCGCTGGCGCCCCCTGCTGTCCGCGGTGAGCCCCGAGACGGAGGGCGCTGTGGCTGTGCAGAAGCCGGACCCCGAGCCCACGGGACGCCCCCCCTACCCTGCGAGTCCAGCCTCTTGTCCACGTAGACGGTGTAGGTGAAGGCGTGGCGCAGCGCCAGGGCGGCGAAGAACATCTCCACGCAGATGATGAAGTTCTGGTAGCCGGCCGCCACCGTGCCCTCGCCCACCGACACCTCCGGGGAGCTGATCTGGGGGATGGCACCGCACTTCTCCAGGATGGCCAGCAGCATGCCTGGGGACAGGGGGCGCAGAGGTCACCGACGGGAGGGGTCAGGGGTCAGAGGTCAGGGGTCAGGGGTCAGCTGGAGAGAGACTCACCCTGCCAGAAGGACAGGAAGATGACGGACTTGACCATGAAGAACTTGAGCAGGGGGCTGTAGGGGCTCAGCAGCTCGCGCGTGGCGAAGTAGAAGAGGAAGAGGGCGTACAGGGCCAGGCTGACCGAGATGTTGTAGACGATGGTGACGTACAGGTAGCCGCTGGCCACGCTGAGGACAGGGAGAGACCGGGACAGCGGTCACTACAGCGCCCCCGCAACCGACCGCGGTCCGCCAGCCACACGCGGGGCTCAGGGCGATGCCTTACTTGAAGTCTCCATCGCGGTATTTCCCAAAGGCCTGCAGGATGACCGTGATCATGGCCATCAGGGGCTTGACCACACAGAACTGGAGAGTGGCCTGGAGAGAGAGAGAGGGGGGTTAATACACACACTGACCGACTGGACACTCCAGTACATGA